CACTGCTCCATAGTTGCTAGTTTTTTTTTTTTTTTTTTGGCTTGTTTTACACCGTCGAAGTGGCTGCCTTTCAGTGATAGATAGAGCTTTTTATGTCAGTATAGGTGTGGTAAATGGTCTGGAATCATTTTGAATGAGCAATAGTGCACTTCTTTTGAAATCTGAAATGTAAATAAACTTGCCACTCCTTTCTTTTCCAAATACATTTGGATGTGTTTAAAAAAAAAAAAAAAAAAAGCCTGGCAAAGTTATGATGTTTCAATATACTACCTCTCCATTAGGGACATCTTTGCAAAGTTTTTAAATGTAGCCACTCATCTAATGCAGAACAGCATTTGGATTAGGAGATACCTTTTTTTAAAGCAATTTCTTGCCTTCCCATGTACCTGGGGACAGGTCTTCAAAATGATAGTTGTTTTTCTAGCAAATCTCAAATGGCCAAACACATCTCTTCTGTCCAGACTGTTATTTTTTTTAAGGGAAAGGTGTGTAATGCTTCAAAAGGACAGCATATCTTGCATCTGTTCTCTACATCAAGGGTGTTTACCTAAATATGACTTCTCAGGTTTGGTTTCTTATGGCAAAATAACCATTTTATAAAGACACTATGTCCAATTACCAACAGAAATACAGGTTTAACGTGAAGAATGCTTCTCTTTCCTTGCCAGTCTTTATTGGCTCTGAAAGATAGTTACTGCTTTGTATGATGCTGTGGGAAGAGGAAGAGATGAAGAATATCTTTATGCTTTACCATTGAGGGGCAAGTAGCATTAGCCTCTTGTATGGGCATCCCAAATCTTATAAATAAGACAAATGTAGACTTCTGACCGCTAACATTTAATGTTAATGGTATGGTTGGTAATGGAGCCTTAGCTCAGCTCCTCATGATGTGCCTTGGTGAGAACTGATCTTTTCTGGAAAAAAACATCAAGAGAAATGTCCTTCTAAAAACAGAGGTAATGTGAGCTTAGTGGATGCACTGGTGCCCAAAGCAAGCAGAACATTTTTGGGCGTCAGGACTGGTGAGAGGTTAATGGGCTAGTGATACTTACTGAAGTGCTGTTTGGAAAGAATGATAATCTGTTACGTTACTTTTACTTGTCTGACAAGTTGCAAAGAGGATAAATGTGCAGTCCTACAAGTATTTTGTGGTTGGGGGAGCGAGGGACAAAGAGGGGGGATGGTGTGGGCTAGAAAATTAATTAAAAAATGGTACCAAAGAGGCCCGTATTACAGGAGATGAAACTAGAAGTAAATACCAAAGACCAATTTTGGAAGCAAAGCCAACACGAACATGTACTCTTGTTAAGTCCATGCATTGTATATAAAACAGGGATTTTTGTCAGGTTTGGTCTTGAAACAGATCTTTTCCCTGTTACACAGCTGCTCATATTGCTAAAGTATGTCTGCTGTATAAATAATATAATGGATTGCCAAGATATTTTAATAAAAATATAGAAGGCACTTTCTATAACCTCAAACACTCAATTTAGTTGTATGAAAATGAAATGATTTGAGTGTCTCCATCATCACTTGCCTATATTTAGAAATCTCTAATGGTAAATATCAAGCTTAGGATTTAATCTTATGAATGGGATTGGCTCACGCTTAGCATAAGGCTGAAATACTAATTTACTTTCTTTTTTTCCTGTAGATTTGGTTCCATCAATTATGAGTAACTTGCTAAATCCAGATGCTATTTTTTCCAACAATGAAATGAGTCTGTCAGACATTGAAATCTATGGCTTTGATTATGACTACACGTTGGTCTTCTATTCTAAACATTTGCACACGTTGATCTTTAATGCTGCTCGGGATCTTCTTATTAATGAACATCGGGTAAGTTAAATGAAACAATAATATGCCTCTCTACTTGTAAGAATGCAACAGGAACTAATCTGAGAGACCCTTAGCTCAGCTCCTCATGATGTGCCTTCAGGTTGACTCCTTCATAGCAGGTTTTGTATACCAGCTATTTTAAGACCACAAAGGTGCTGGTTCAGTTTTTGGCTGTGGTAATGCACCAGAATGCTTGTAGTTCAGGACCTGGAAAGAAGACTCTTCTGTCCTTCTATTTGGCCCTTAGATATTAGGAATGTTCTTTCCTAATAGGATTGTGGAGATTCTTAGTTGGTTGTACTTTTAGGAGAGGGTGCGTCTTGCACTATTATGAATACAACTATTAATTTCTATTTGGAATATTATTTTTATGTGACCTAGGATGGACTGCATGGGCAGTGTAGTGTTGGGCATTTCCAGTACTGTATTTCATTCCAAAGGTTAACAGCTATATATAAGGATCTATAAATATCTCCTGAGTAACAAACAAAACGTCATGGCACTATGAACACAAACAGCTAGGGTCCTCCTAATATTTTACAACACTTGGGAGGTAATTTATGCAATATGAATAAACAAGTGTTATTTATGTTATGTTTTTATAATAGAAACTGAAATTACTGTACAGAAGAAAGCCAAGAAAGCACTGCAGACATCAGGACTATAGTGATAATGAATCATGTACCATGTGTGAGGGTTATCTTATGCCTACAATAAAATTATCTATGGGAAGGAAGCATGAAATTGACAACTCTTGTCCATTATAGCCGACAAGATGGTTTAAAGCTTGAAACTACTTGTTAAAATTAGTAGTTTCCCACTGGAATATATTTTGTTTAGCCCAAGGGAAAACAATTTATTCTAACTCCGTTATGGAACGTTTGCTATAGCTACATATATTCTTATTGGTTTTATTGACCTTTCTTTGTTGCAGCATCAGATTTACCCTGTGGGGAGAGTCTCTTAGATGACAAACCCTATGGTCTTTCTTGCTTAGAATTAACCATCTTCTAAATAGACTGAGAAAGTGTTATCTGGCTAGTATATTAGAAGTTGCAAGTTCTGAGATGGGCAGTATGGATATTAGAAGTTAGAATTTCATGAGAATAAACATTCCCTGGAGGATTGTTTTGATGTTTGACAGTAGATGTAATTAACTTAACGATAACTTTTTATAGTGGTTTCTTGAAACTTTTTTGCCTGGGCTGCTAATTCAGATTGGATTGGTTGTGATTTAACGATGAGAATTGGTGGCCCCCAAACAGTGTAATTTATCATTACTTTGTGTCTGATTGCAGGGTACACCTGACACTGTAGGAAGACATCTAGTTGCAACAGGGATTGGTGTACGATTTGGCTAAATATTATACGCATGCCCAGGCATACATTTTAAAGACCATTATTAAGGATGTAAAAATCAAGTGCTCTGAAGTTAGAAAATGCCAAAATGAAGAGTCTGTTCAGCCTTATTCAGCTTCCTCCCATGGGGACATCTAAAGCCTTACTGGGCATCCTGATGCCACGACTGGCATGGGCAGTTGGGGAACTGGGAGCTCCCTGAAGCCCAGCTGTAGGCACCCCAGCATGGAGGCATGGCAGGATGTGCAATTGTTGGGCTCCACTATAAAATTCCTCTGATCCCATTGTATTAATAAATTAACATCTGCCAAGGGCCCTGGTCCCAGACTACCCATTCCACCTCCGGTCCACTCATCCTCCTTTCCTTTCCAAGTTCCTCTTTATTCAAATCGGGCAGAATACTACTCTTTGCTATGTGGGAGTCATTGGGAGGATCAGGCTTTTGGCTCTAAATTCAGGTGTCTGCACCCAGGCCCAGCATAGCCTACAGCTGCCTGCCTTGTACTGATTGCATCTTTGAGAAACTTAGCTGGTAAAATCTAAGAAAGGCCTGTTGGGTGTATGTGAGTGATCATTTTTTTCAAAAACTTGTAATAACTTGACCTAAACAAAGTGTTTTTTCTGGGTGGGCGAACAGCACATCTTTGATACCCCAGGCAAATTTCAAGTCCCTGCTGTAAGGTAGGCACAAGAGCTTTTCAAATAGAAGGTTGCCAGAATTTTTTTTAATGTGGGCAAAATATAGTTTTCTATAGCTTTGTCCTCAGAAACAGCTGTCAGCAGAACTATTTTTGCTGCCCTTTTTTTTTTTTTTAAAGGCAAAAGCCCCTTCTCTCTCTCCTTGTCTGTAGCAGACAGCATATAAAATTTCATCCCAAACTGCTAGTTTGGCATAGCTGTAACAGCTAAAAACAGGGTCTTATACCAAGAATTGTTGGGCAACCTCAGTACTAAACTACAAGCCTTGTTTCATAAATGACCTGGACGAATAAGTAAGCAGTATGTTAATTAAATTGTTAGGTAATTCTGAACTTAGTTGTCAAAGACTGAAGGTAGATGGAATTGCAAAACTCATAAGGATAATCTGAAAAATCCAAAAAAACCCAGAATGAAGTAGACGTGAGTGGGGTAAGGAACATCCTGATAAATAGAAATGCTGTGAAGGAGGCAAAGAGATGAGAGCAAACAGAATGTATATTGCCATTGGAATATGATGTTTAGGAAGGAAGTTTAATACAGTGCCTGGTTCATGACTTAGGGATATGTAATTTGATTTTATGCATGCATGCGCGTGTGTGTGAGCATAAAACACTATTTTTAAAGAATAAGTACATGTTGGTTAACTTGCATCAAAAACAAAAGTGACAGCGCACAACATCTCTAGGACACTAATAGTTATACCTTAAAATGGAAAGTTAATTGTTGTTAGTTCCTTTTTTCATTTTGCTCTTGCAGAACAAAAATGAGGCAGGCAAGGGAAAAAAATGCTGTTTTTTGTTATCCTGGCTTAACTTTTACCAAGCAGATGAGTTCTTTTATCAGAATAAGCAATGCTTAAGCCTGTAGATACCAGGCTTAAGCCTATTCCACTGTAGTTGAGATGTGTAAAGCTTACTGGTTCCAGGGCATAACATGGTGGATGCCTAAGTACTACTTGCATTTTTATTACATTAGATTTTATTCAGGATTTTATGTTATTGTATAAATGGTTGAACAGGTGCAAAGTTGCTGCTGAACAAGGTTCTGTAGCGAACAAGAAAATTCTTTTTATGGCTGTTTGGACAGGTCTGTGTAAAGAATGCAAACCTGTTCAGTAAAAATTGCATGAGCTGAACCTTGTCTTGAGTCACTTGCAGATATAACTATTGGTTTGTGCAATTATATGCATATCACTTCAAAGCATTGCAGCCTGCTGTGTCATCATACAGCTGCAGAAGCACAGATGGCCCAATTCAGTGCTTGTAGGGAATATTTCTATCAATTTCAGTGGGCACTGCATCATTCCCTCTGTAACTGCTTGAAAATACTATTGTAATTTGGAAATATTGTCAGACAAGAATTTAGTTCCATTTGGGAGCATTTATGAAGTGAGTGAGCTATGGGTCTCACCACTCACCTCAGAAATAAAATTTAAAAGAGCCTATAAAATGCAGTAGATAAAATCTTTTTTAAAATATGCTTGGTGAGATTGTTGTTTCTTTTTAGAAACACTTTTCATTTGGGCCAAATTTCAAATATGGGTGCCTCAAAATGGGTATTTAGGTACTTAATATGTGGCCAGCTTTGTGTGCGTGTCCATGCGTGGGTTTTTTTTCCCTCTTCCCAAAGGCACTAAGTACCTGTAATGTACATTGATTTCAGAATTATTGCATTCTGCTCCCTTCCACTGGGGAGGTCTGTACTTGGCATATGTGAGAACTAAGCCTTGTATCCAGGTGTCTGACTCTGTTTCATGCACCATTGGTCCATGCTTGTGCAATAAAGTGTGGTGAAGCCTTTTTGATCGGCACAAGGAAGGCCCAGTTTTCAGAAGCAATGAAGAGACATAACAAACTAGGTGGAGCTATGTATGTTTACTACCTCTGAAAATTGTGCCACCCAAAGTACCTAATATCAAACATCTATATTTGAAAATTTAATCTGCAGGTTTTTTTCCAGTTATTCTTCCCGTTCTTGTACCAGAGCTGTATGTGATTCCATATGAATGTCACTGGTAGATTAAGTGGCATGCTTTAATGAATACTGAAAGTGACAAATGTGGAAGGCTAGGATTTTTTAGACTTGGAAAAATTGGTTCTTGATTTATGTATGTTTGTGAAATAACTGTCATTATTTTTAGTATCCTGCAGAAATAAGGAAGTATGATTATGATCCCAGTTTTGCAATACGAGGACTTCATTATGATGTACATCGGGTAAGTATAACTAAAAAGCACTAAATACATAGCTTATGAAAAGAAGTGTTGCATTTTATATATGTTTTCTAATGTATGTTTTATATATGTTTTCTAAAGTATTACTTAATGTTCACATGTAGGCAAACTCTTCTTTATTCTCCTTTGTAGAAATCTACATTATTTTTAAAACTCTTGTAATTTTTTTTAATGGCAAATCAGTTTGTGGCAGAATAAATATAAACTGGATAGTATTGTTAGGGAAAGTTGTTTATTCATGAGTAATCTCATGTAATTGGAAAATAATGGAGTTCTAACAGTCTGGCAAGCTTGAAATGCAAACCTTTGACAAAATTGCTTCTTAAACAGACTTTAAATAAACTGATTTAGACTCTCTGTTTTTGAGCAAAACCAGATAAAATGAATATAGTTTTTATAATTGAATGTAAGAGTGCTTTTATGATGTGTAAATTGCATTTTTTTCTTGTGTTCAAGGCATTATTAATGAAGATTGATGCTTTTCATTATATCCAGTTGGGAACAGTATACAGGTAGGTGAAGTTATTGCTTAGTTGTATATATTTATGTACTCTTATTTATGAAACCTTTGGACACTTCAGTTACAGCCTACTTAAAATTTGTCCTGGCTATATAATAGAATGCACTTGGGTGAAGTTGTGTTGTAGTCCTCTGAAAAGCATGAATGCAAAAAAGGGTGCTTCTTAGCTGAACTACAAGAATGAATTCTCTAGCGCCTAGGTTGCCAAACTGGTCTTGAAGAACTGGCTAGTCACATAGTGCTGACTTGCATCATTTCCAGCTGCTAAATGCTTTGAAAGATCACTAAAAATACACTAATGCTGTCTTCAGTGTTAACTTGATATGCGAGTAGTTGCCAGTGGGACACTGGGACACACGTGCGGAGGGAATTTATCAATGGACCTCACTATGATGTGAGTTGTGCCATGAAAAAACTTGTGCATTGATAGCATAGTGATGCATGGTGTGCCATTTTAAACAGAACATAGGGAACCCTGCTTTAGCTCACTAGATGAAAGCCTTTGTTTTCTGAAGCCAAAAAGGTCAATTTTGAACGGATTGTGATGGACCTCGTGTAGTTCATGCATAACAGCGTAGAAAGAATCAACACAGTGTATTTGGAATGTGCCTTCTCTTTAGGGCTGTTAATTCAAACTTAGCTTTAGAACCTTCCTCTCAATATATTTGTGCCAATTAACTCACTTGGTACGTAGGTCATTTGAATAATCTCACTACATGATCAGTTCTATTGTAATAGGGTTTGTCATGCTTACTCTCAAGAGAGTACAAGACATCATGTAATATAGCAAATTTAATGTAGTTATCATCACATTTACTGCATGTCAAGTTCCAAATCAGTGAGAGGTGTTACATGGCTCAGTGAATACCAGTATAGTCTTTGATGCATGTTTTGTATGTAAAATATTAGCACATATCCTTTTATCCCTAAAACTAGTTGCTTTTATTTTTCTGTGAACTCAGATGTTTAGGAAAGTTTCTAAATAATGTGAAGTAATATTTTTACTTAAATTTGTAACTTCAGAGTCCTTTTGAGAAGACTGTAAAAGGTGAACTTAATCTTCCTTTCCAGGAGGAAATTGCAAAGCTCTCTATGCACAAAGATTGCAGTTTTTGGCTCCAACACTGTGTTGTGTTGAGCAAAGTAAAACTGGGGTTCTTAATGTCTTAATTCTGTGCTAGCAGTGCAGTGAGATGAGAGATTTTAAGGCCAAGAAACTTGTGTAGGAGGAAAAAATGCACCAACCAGTAATTTTGCTAATCTTGAAAATTGGCCTAGTGTACCTCTGAAGAGAAGCGATGATTTTCTGTCAGGTTGATTTTATTTATTTAAAAAAAAAAAAAGAGCAGGTTAAATAAATATTGCTTTTCATTAATAGAAGAAGTGCTGGCTAATCAGATCAGAGGCTAGCTGAAGTTAGTAGTGCATTATGATTTGATTTATCACATAGTTGTTCAGTTTTATCTTCACACGTAGACTGTGTGTATCCTATGTGTACTGACACATGCTCACTTCATCTCTTTAAAGCATGATTTGTAGGGCTGTGCGAAGCTTTGGGTGGTGATTTCAATTTGGAGGAGATTCGGCCTGATTCAGTGACCAAATCTCCAAATGTGAATCTAATCAGGGGACCAATTAAAAGGTCCAAATAGATTCAAAGCTCTCTGAATCTTCAGAAAAGATTTGGAGAGCTTTGATTTTGGCAGTCCCCGCCCGCTGCAGCTGGACTTGAAGCGGGTAAGTAGGGGTGGGGGAGGGTGGGCTGGGGGAGGGGATGGCAGGGGTCCCCCATGGACCTCTT